CATTTCATGGGCATAATCCAGTCAGACTCACAATCGACAGCGGCGCGACTGGCAATATGATAAAGTCTACGTGTGCTACACGTCTAGGAGTTACGGTTACCAGAAGTACTCAGTCCGCCCACCAGGCTGACGGCTCATCACTGTTGCCTGTGGTTGGTGAAACGCGAACATACTTTTCCCGCGATGGTCAAAATTTATTCTTCGAGGGACTAGTCGTAGAAAACCTTGACACAGAGGTATTGGCAGGAATACCATTCATGGAACGTAATGATGTGGCCGTACGACCAGCCAAGCGGGAAGTGATCCTAAAGAATTCGGACACCTAAACGTATGGGTCCAACCAAACTACAGTAGATCGTCATGCAGTATGTAGGGCCTTCGTCATACGCGCAACGGAAAAGGCAGTGATTTGGCCAGGTGAATTCATTGAACTTGACCTACCGGAGGAGTTTACGTGTCAAGAGGTTGCCATCGAACCTCACGCCGACTATCTTACTAACAAGCCTCAAATGTGGCCTGATCCCGCAATTGTACAGACAGTTGCAAGCAAGATCCGAGTACCTAACCTGACCCGTGATCCGCTTTATGTGCGGAAAAATGACCACATATGTGAGGTCCGCTATACTGTCGTTCCGGATGACGTCGTTCAATCCCCCAAACTCTGTGCCAGTGCGTCGTCGCCAAGGAGTTAGTTCTCTTCATTCGCACGCTGTCAGTCTTGACCCAGATAATATCATGTCATTTGAAATGCATAACAAGTTCATTGCCATTCTTCGTGAGTATGATGAGGTTTTTGACCCTCTTTTCCCGGGCTACAATGGTGCGGTTGGCCCCTTCCAGAGTCGCGTGAACATGGGACCAGTTCAACCACCTCAACACAAGGGCAGGGTACCCCAGTATGCAAGAAGTCAGTTACAGGAATTACAAGCAAAGTTTGATGAACTTGAGTCTCTTACTGTTTTTGCATTGCGGTGGAGTATGTTAATCCTTCATTTTTGGTCAGGAAACCGAAAGGTGGCTTTCGTCTGGTAACTGCATTTGCTGATGTAGGACGCTACTGCAAACCCCAACCATCATTGTTGCCTGATGTTGATTCTACTCTTCGACAAATAGCCCAGTGGCAGTATATTATCACCACTGACTTGAGCCAGGCATTTTACCAAATACCGCTGAGCCATGACTCAATGAAGTACTGTGGAGTTGTTACGCCTTTCAAGGGTGTACGAGTGTACACACGTACAGCAATGGGTATGCCTGGCTCCGAAACAGCCCTAGAAGAGCTCACCTGCCGTGTTCTAGGAGATCTTGTCCAACAGGGTAAGGTTGCTAAAGTAGCTGACGATTTGTATTGTGGGGCAAATACATTGGAAGATCTGCTTACTATCTGGGAGAGCGTTTTGAGATCGTTGCGGCATTGCAACCTGTGCCTGTCAGCCCACAAGACAGTCATTGCCCCTCGGCAAACAACCATCCTTCGTTGGATCTGGCGTCTTGGTTGCATACAAGCTAGTTCTCATCGCATAGCTGCCCTGTCCACTTGTGCTCAGCCATCAAATGTCGCGGGACTCCGCTCCTTCATCGATGCTTACAAAGTTCTTGGGCGAGTCCTGAAAAGTACAACCTGTCTCCTCGCCCCGCTGGATGATGCTGTTGCAGGCCGTGATTCGAAAGAGGTTGTTGCTTGGTCCCATGCGCTGTCAAATTCTTTCTCTCGTGCTCAGTCTGCCCTATCTACATGCAAATCTGTAACACTTCCACGTCCAGAGGATCATCTCTGGATTGTAACTGATGGTGCACTGAGAAACCCTGGACTTGGTGCCACACTCTATTTATCACATGATGATAAAGTTGAACTTGCAGGCTACTTCAGTGCTAAGCTGAGGAAAAACCAGAGCACATGGCTTCCATGCGAGATTGAGGCACTTTCCATTGCAGCCGCCATTAAGCACTTCAGTCCTTACATCGTTCAGAGTTGTCACACTGTGTGTGTCTTAACGGACAGCAAGCCGTGTGTACAGGCATTCGGGAAGTTGTGTCGGGGCGAGTTCTCTGCTAGTCCGCGTGTGACCACCTTCCTATCCACTGCTAGCAGATACCAGGTTAGTATAAGACATGTCGCTGGTTCTGCAATTCTTCCCTCGGAGCCCACTTGCCAAATTTGCACATTTGTCAATTGTTCGATTGACTCTGTTGTCCGTAGTGTATCACCAACAGATACTCTGGACAGTTCCTCAGGCGTACCCTTTGCTAGCCATGCAGCATGGTTATCCATTCAGTCTGAATGTGCAGACCTACGTCGAACAAAAGCCCACCTTCGTCAGGGAACACATCCATCAATAAAAAAAAAACTGACACACGTGATGTGAAACGATACATCAACGCAGCTACGCTCTCTAAAGACGGCCTCTTAGTTGTACGACGCCACACACCTTTGGCGAAATCAACTGATTGCATCGTTGTACCTAGGCATGCCCTTGATGGCCTACTAACCTCCCTGCATATCAAGCTCGATCACCCGACGTTTCATCAGCTGCGAGCAACCGTCTGTCGTTCTTTATATGCCTTGGATATGGACACTGCGCTACATCGGGTGTCGGATTCTTGTCATCAATGTGCAGCCTTAAAGAAGACACCTAAATTTCTGCAGGAACAGACAACGGGCCCACCATCCGATTCGATGGGATGCCAATTTGCGGCTGACATCATCAAACGTGCCAGACAGTTAATACTGGTGGTACGAGAGTGTGTAACGTCCTTCACATCTACGTTGCTCCTTGACAACGAACGCAAGGATACTCTACGTGATGGTTTGATTAGGCTATGTATTGAGCACCATCCGCTTGATGGCCCGTTTGCCGTCATAAGAACCGACCCTGCTCCAGGATTTAAAGCATTGATCAATGATGAATCTCTGGAAAAGTATCGTCTTGCAATAGAACTGGGTAATGCTAAAAACATCAACAAAAACCCCATCGCAGAAAGGGCTATTCAGGAGCTGGAGGAAGAGATATTACGTTTAGAGCCAGGATGTCGTGCTGTGACTCCTCTTCTTCTGTCTTTGGCTACAGCTCGTCTAAACACACGCATACGTGGGCGAGGATTATCTGCTCGTGAAATGATGACACAAAGAGATCAGTGTTTCAACAAATAAATCCCTCTAGCAGATCAGGATATCATTCTCCAACAGAATTCCGCTCGATTGAAAAACCACCCTCACAGCGAAAAGTGCAAGACGCCATCTGGTCGCACCCAACTGCCATCTGCAGTAGTGCCTGGAGACTTAGTCTACCTCCACGGTGATCGCAATAAAGCCAAATCTAGAGACCGATACTTAGTCGCAAGCATTGAGGGTTCGTGGTGTAATATCCGAAAGTTTGCAGGTAACCAGCTTAGAAAAGGATCCTACTGAGTACGCCTTTCTGATTGTTTTAAGGTAATGGGACAAGAAGGCTTTCCCCAGCCACTCTTACATGGTGAGGAATCTGAAGACAAGGACGGTGACACTCCGCAATCTACAATAGTGCTAGATCCACCGCCAGAACCCGATATTTCATCAGTTATCATAGACATTCCAGTCAACCCAGTACCATTACTGGATACTCCTGCAGCAGTTGAGGACATTGTTTCGCAGTCCAGTGACAATGCTGTACATCAGTCGAGGCGTGCAAAACGGGCACCTACAGCATTTGAAGACTATGTTTTGTACTGATGTTTGAAACTTTGACTTGGTTTTTGTCTTTTAATGACAGGAAGTCAGACTTGTTCAGTGTCGTCTAAAGTGTCATCTGAAGTTTTGTAAAAGGTATTTTTGGTTTGCAAAGAAAAAGGGTAGCGCCAGTGATGGCAATGTGACATTTCTTCCGGATCCCGCTACCCGGTATCCGTGCCATGCTATAAGGCGTTGCTTCTCTCTTTCCTGTCTCAATAAAGGTCACTACGTCCCTACTTACTGGTGCTGTTGCGACATATGTATCATTGTATTTTAATACTGGTGCAGGACATTTCCTACCAGGACTGAAAGTCTCTATCAGGACATTTCCTACCAGGACTGAAAGTCTCTACTAGGACAGGAAGCCTCTATCAGGACATTTCCTACCAGGACTGAAAGTCTCAACTAGGATAGAAAGTCTCTATCAGGACATTTCCTACCAGGACTGAAAGTCTCTACTAGGACAGGAAGCCTCTATCAGGACATTTCCTACCTGGACTGAAAGTCTCTACTAGGACAGGAAGCCTCTATCAGGACATTTCCTACCAGGACTGAAAGTCTCTACTAGGACAGGAAGCCTCTATCAGGACATTTCCTACCAGGACTGAAAGTCTCTACTAGGACAGAAAGCCTCTATCAGGACATTTCCTACCAGGACTGAAAGTCTCTACTAGGACAGGAAGCCTCTATCAGGACATTTCCTACCAGGACTGAAAGTCTCTACTAGGACAGAAAGCCTCTATCAGGACATTTCCTACCAGGACTGAAAGTCTCTACTAGGACAGGAAGCCTCTATCAGGACATTTCCTACCAGGACTGAAAGTCTCTACCAGGACAGGAAGCCTCTATCAGGACATTTCCTACCAGGACTGAAAGTCTCTACTAGGACAGGAAGCCTCTATCAGGACATTTCCTACCTGGACTGAAAGTCTCTACTCGGACAGAAAGTCTCTATCAGGACATTTCCTACCAGGACTGAAAGTCTCTACTAGGACAGAAAGTCTCTATCAGGACATTTCCTACCAGGACTGAAAGTCTCTACTAGGACAGAAAGCCTCTATCAGGACATTTCCTACCAGGACTGAAAGTCTGTACTAGGCCAAAAAACCTCAGATAAAGGAAAATGTCTTTGAGATAAAAAACAAACTTTGCCAGATACAGAACAAAATTCGTTTGAAAAGTCTTGTCCAGCCAATCACAAACTATCCAGTTCCCAAAGTCAATAGTCCTACCAATGCTCTAGCCATTCATGCTGGTGTCTATAACTCTGTTTAAGAAAAGGCCAATTTACCGTTATCTTTGACGATTTTTGTTATCCAGGGTCCCTCCTCACTGTCATTAACCTGAGTGTTGTATACAGTCAGTTTGAAATGCCAAGGGCTAGTGTCCAAGGAGGCGTCGGTAGTTTCCCAGGTACACACTGTCATGTTTTCCATGTGTGGACATATATTACTTGCCCCATTATACCTAAACATTTAAATATCATCTTCAAATATACACAAAACATTCATAAAGAATGTTAATATAAATATCTTGATGCGTATTTAATCTTATAATGTGTGCTCTACATTAAATTCGAAATTTTTATCATTTTTGGGATCATTAAAATGCTGATCAAGAAAGGTAAACAATACATTATCATTTATCAAAATTAAAAAAAAGTCAAGAGAAACAAAACATCTGCACCCCTGATACAAACATCATCTGTACCACTGATACAAACATCTGTACCACTGATACAAACATCTGTACCACTGATACAAACATCATCTGTACCACTGATACAAACATCATCTGTACCACTGATACAAACATCTGTACCACTGATACAAACATCATCTGTACCACTGATACAAACATCTGTACCACTGATACAAACATCTGTACCACTGATACAAACATCATCTGTACCACTGATACAAACATCTGTACCACTGATACAAACATCATCTGTACCACTGATACAAACATCATCTGTACCACTGATACAAACATCTGTACCACTGATACAAACATCATCTGTACCACTGATACAAACATCTGTACCACTGATACAAACATCTGTACCACTGATACAAACATCTGTACCACTGATACAAACATCATCTGTACCACTGATACAAACATCTGTACCACTGATACAAACATCTGTACCACTGATACAAACATTCATTATGTAAATTACAGTGTCATAGTTTGATAGAGGTGGTGTCATCCATTGACATTTTATTTCTGATATTTGTTACACCACACAAGTCTGGACTATCTCAGTCAAGCTGTTATATGGTTGTCCTGTGTCACAATCGGACTGCTATCTACAATATCAAACCATTCCTACCAAAATTCAACTAAACAAGCATTTAGTTTTGTCTTAAAAAATCATTAGGTAAACAAAATGCTTTGTTGTTTTCAAGAGAGATCTATGTTAATATATGGTATACAGCAAAAGACAACAAAATGTCAGATATTGTCATCAACACAGACAACAGTTACTTCCATGAAATATATTACTAATGTACTGTATACAATATAACACACACATATATTTCCCAGATGTTGGTAAAATTTTGTGTTCTACACCTACACTCACTTTAGGTTGTGTTAGAGTGTGGTTATATGAACATACACAGGGTCATTGTTAGTAATCATGCATCAAAATTTCAAAAAGCTTTAAAAGAAAACAATAAAAATGGATAAAATAACTTTTACAGTGAAATGAACAAGTAAAGCAATTGAAAACCAAACCAATCCATAATTATAATTCAATTTATAATCTTATAAATCAACTGCCAGCTGCCATATTTACTGGTAAACATATATAATTAAGTGGTAATCTTATTTTCGTGGTTACTGCACTAAAATATGATTACACTTATCACAGTTTCTGTATGTTCATAAAAAATTACCATGGATGACCAAATGTGATAATTTGCCAAATAGCGATGATGTGCTATGATTTGTTTGAACCAAATCAAGTACATTTAGATTGTATCAGCTCAATATTCTGCCAAGTTTGATATATAACATGCAAAATCTCCAAAAACTACCATGCAAAGTATGATGATGACTGTTATAAGCGAAAAGACTAAACTAATTAGGGTCTCTGTAGGATCTATTTGGTATTTAAAGTTGTAAGTCCAGTTTAGAGTATAAGATTAGTTTGAAAAACAAGGACATGCTAACCGATTTCAACTGAGTGAGATAGTGTAACCGTTTACCAATCTCTTCTGTGTGGATATGTCGGCAAAGTGACACTGCTTGATTTAAGTTACTGATGGAGAGATTGAGGTATATGTAGCTCCTGTCTAGAGTTACATCTCTGGCGTCCCATGCACAGTCTGTCACACTCAACTCAGGACAATTTCTCAACAGGATCGGTGCTGACTGTTTTCTGAAGGCCAGTCTAGCCCTGAGGGTTAATCCGGTACATCATCACTGATATTTGAAATAATATACATGTTGTTTCTAAAGTCATGTCTGTGCTGGCATTCATTTAGAAGAAATAGTTTAAAATACAATATGTCTAACACATAGTATTAGTTAATATGACCTTGACTTTACAATGAAAAGTACATATGGCAATGTGAGGGTGAGTGGAAAGGAAGAAAAATTGATGAAAGCAAGCATATATATTAACTGTTGGTCAATCTTACAGGCCTACTGGGAAAGAGGATTGGATGCAAGTGTGAATGACAAACTAAGCTGATCATTGGTTAAAGTAGGAGAAACTTGAATGGGAACACAATCTAAGTAGTCAAGTGCCTGGAGGTAAATTTTGTTGGGTTGGGAACACATCAAGTGCCTGGAGGTAAATTTTGTTGGGTTGGGAACACATCAAGTGATGGGAGGTAAATTTTGTTGGATTGGGAACACATCAAGTGCCTGGAGGTAAATTTTGTTGGATTGGGAACACATTAAGTGCCTGGAGGTAAATTTTGTTGGGTTGGGAACACATCAAGTGCCTGGAGGTAAACTTTGCTGGATTGAGAACACATCAAGTGCCTGGAGGTAAATTTTGTTGGATTGGGAACACATCAAGTGATGGGAGGTAAATTTTGTTGGATTGGGAACACATCAAGTGATGGGAGGTAAATTTTGTTGGATTGTGAACACATCATGTGACTGGAGGTAAACTTTGCTGGATTGAGAACACATCAAGTGCCTGGAGGTAAACTTTGCTGGATTGAGAACACATCAAGTGACTGGCGGTAAACTTTGCTGGATTGGTAACACATCATATGACTGGAGGTAAACTTTGTTGGATTGGGAACACATCAAGCGATGGGAGGTTAACTATATTAGATTGGTAACATATTATGTGACTGGAGGTAAATTTTGCTGGATTGAGAACACATCATGTGACTGGAGGTAAACTTTGTTGGACTGGGAACACATCATATGACTGGAGGTAAATTTTGTTGGACTGGAAACGCATCATATGACTGGAGGTAAATTTTGTAGGACTGGGAACACATCATGTACCTTGAGGTAAATGTTGGACTGGAAAGCTTTAAATGGTATGTGATCTATATTTAGGGAATGCACTCAGCTGCCAGCCTGGTAAATGTATGGAACTCCATCGTACAGATTTATTACAGTAATACAGAAACTAGTGGAAAACAGAACCAAGACCTCAATGAGACCACAACAGCTATATATATGCGACTAAATAAACAGTATTAAGATGGATGGTATCCACTATATTACAATTATTTTTCACAACATCACCTTAATATCACCTTAACACTCATTTGAGTAATTATTAAAAGTTTATGTAAACTTTGACTGAAATCACTCAAGAAATGGAGCCCTTAGAGTAATGATTGTTTGATCTTTTTCTGTAAATAGCTAACCTTGACCTCAAAACCCTGAAACACAAAGTAATCTGAAGTATTGTTACAGTTGACGTTTGTTTAAAGATAAATTATAATCCTTTTAGAAATGAAGCTACCAAAAAAATTTATTTCCATAAATTAGTTTAAAACTTTCTATAAATAGTACCAGTGACCTTGACATTGTCCTCAGCACCCTGATGTACAAACTCATAGGTATTGTCCTCATTGACCTTTGAACAAAGTTTGATCAATATCCCTTTTAAAATGAAGTTGCTTAAGTGGAGACATAATTTTGGGATGCGACGGGAGAGAAAAGGTATAAAAAATTGTTTCAAATCTGCAACTTCTGAAACTCCATGTACTAAGAAACTGAAGGAAATGAACTTACATTGTACATGTCAGACATTGTTTCTTCAGGCAGATTTCCTTACTCTTTCTGTTAGCATATAAATACTCATGCAAAGCTACCATGAAGAATATGGATAAAATAGAAGCCAGTTACAACTTGCATTTGATTGAGTTTATTTTCAATTAGTCACTTCTAATGGCATGCCAAGCCTGCTTAGTATCAGTCAAGAGATTTACATCAATCCTCCTTATTTACGCCAAAAGATTGTAAAAAACACACAAAATTGGATAGCACCTTTCAATACAAATTTAAAGTAAGACACAGTAGAGCTAAACAATGAATTAACTGCATCATTCAGCTGTTTTGTCCTTCTAGAACTTGTCAGTGATGTTACATCATACAGCTGTTTCGTCCTTCTAGGACTCATCAGTGATGTTACATCATACAGCTGTTTCGTCCTTCTAGGACTCATCAGTGATGCTTAGGGTCAAAATTTTGGAGGTAACTGAGGAAAATTCCAAAGTGATCAAAAGAAAAGTCAAAATCAAGACCGGGAGATGCACTAGCCCAATAAATAAATTTCATACAAAAATAACTTCAAAATTGATACACAGACAAGTAATCCACATGCAAAACAAAACAAGGGGTTTGTTTTAACGCGTACTGTACAAATTAAATCCCATACATGTACCCTGACATGCTGTGGCAATCAAGGGGAGACAATTACAAAGGCTAAGCTGTGGTAGAATTAACATTTCTGTGCACAATATTATAGTATTACCTGTACCTTAAGCTACTGTTAAACCTGTGGAAAAAAAAGTCATCCTTTCATTCTAGAATTTCTTATCACCATCCTTTTCATGGGACCATTCAAAACCCTATATCTATTCCACTGGTCAATCCAGACAGAGAGCCCACAAGGAACAAAAGAAATAGGGCATCATCATAATCATTGATCTGTATGCCACAGCGTAGAGCAGGAAAACAAAGCATACTACCAGGATGATATGCAGTGATGTCTTTGTTTGTAACATTGGGGCGACTATGTTTATTTTTCAGTCCTGCCATGTTCACAAACATTCAAAACAGAAACAGAAGTTATTTGTTTACATTGAATTGTTTACAATATGTTCAGTGTTTACAGTTTATTACAGTTAGTGTATACTCAATGTATCAATATCATTTCATAGGCCTGATATTACAGAACGTTATGCATTTTCAGAGAATTATTGTGAATCGCTTTTGTTAGTAAGTTGAACAAGCAATGACTAAAAAACACTGGAAATGACTGCTGAGGTCATAGAATACCATCACGATGCTGAAGATGTACAGAGAAACAGAGAACTCTCAGATATACTGATACTGTCACAGATTGGGATCAGTCTTATGGGATCTGTATACATACAGTGTACTTTGAAGAGCAGCGTTAAGAATGTGATATAGCAAATGTGATAAAGCATTCAATGGTTCATACAGATCCTTATTCAAACCTCAAACTTTTTTTGGAGGATCACAATGGTGACGGTTAAGAAAGAAAAGTTCATGTAACATTATATTGTTACCTCAAGTAGTTTTATCACAGATAAACTAAACACACATTTTTCCTTAACTGTCAAAACAATGACTCTGATTCTTAGCTGAACCTTGAATCTGAAGTCTGTATGAACCTTTTCCTGCGTTCTACAAGGTATGTAAATAATTTTTTTTTTGAGTAAGCAAGACATTAACCATGCACACATACCAAATAAGTTTAACTTTGATGTACTGCATGTAGCGGTATGGTGGGATGCTCCATGAACAAATCAACTTGTCTTTCCAGTTGTGCCAGACGCACTGAATCTCTTTTATTGGTTGTATCCGGTCTACAGTACATATATATGGTTATTGATTATGTACAGAATTTACAATACAAAACACATTGTCAATTACAAGTTCTAAAGTCTACAACACAAAATATAATGTCATTTAAAAGTTCTATAGTCAACCTTACAAAATAGCAATTCATCATTTTTGTAGTCTACAGCATAAATTGCGATGCCAGTTACCAGTTCTACAACCTATTTTACTAAGTACAAAATGTGATGTCATTTACCAGTTCTACAACCTACTTTACTAAGTACAAAATGTGATGTCATTTACCAGTTCTACAACCTACTTTACTAAGTACAAAATGTGATGTCATTTACCAGTTCTACAACCTACTTTACTAAGTACAAAATGTGATGTCATTTACCAGTTCTACAACCTACCTTAATACAGTACAAAATGTGATGTCATTTACCAGTTCTACAACCTACCATAATACAGTACAAAATGTGATGTCATTTACCAGTTCTACAACCTACCTTAATACAGTACAAAATGTGATATCATTTACCAGTTCTACAACCTACCTTAATACAGTACAAAATATGATGTCATTTACCAGTTCTACAACCTACTTTACTAAGTACAAAATGTGATGTCATTTACCAGTTCTATAACCTACTTTACTAAGTACAAAATGTGATGTCATTTACCAGTTCTACAACCTACCTTAATACAGTACAAAATGTGATGTCATTTACCAGTTCTACAACCTATTTTACTAAGTACAAAATGTGATGTCATTTACCAGTTCTACAACCTATTTTACTAAGTACAAAATGTGATATCATTTACCAGTTCTACAACCTACCTTAATACAGTACAAAATGTGATGTCATTTACCAGTTCTACAACCTACCTTAATACAGTACAAAATGTGATGTCATTTACCAGTTCTACAACCTACCTTAATACAGTACAAAATGTGATGTCATTTACCAGTTCTACAACCTACCTTAATACAGTACAAAATGTGATGTCATTTACCAGTTCTACAACCTATTTTACTAAGTACAAAATGTGATGTCATTTACCAGTTCTACAACCTACCTTAATACAGTACAAAATGTGATGTCATTTACCAGTTCTACAACCTACCTTAATACAGTACAAAATGTGATGTCATTTACCAGTTCTACAACCTACCTTAATACAGTACAAAATGTGATGTCATGCAGTCTACAGTTAAAATAAGAGGCCAGAGGGCCTGTATCGCTCACCTGGATCTTTAAGACCAACAGTACTATTTCTGTGCATATGTTCCACGTTTATTACATTTGACTCCTGTGACCTTGACTATGGGTCAAGGTCATTTCTTTTTGCAAACTTTCTAGAAATTCATAAAAGGAACATACTGGCCAAATGTAATGATTCTAGGCTTTTCAATATTTCAGAAGAAATTGTTTAACCATTTTAACACATTTGACCCCTGTGACCTTGAAGATTGGCCAAGGTCATTTCTTTTAGCAAACTTTGTAGGACACCATAAGAGGAACATAGTAGCCTAATACAATGATTCTAGGTCTTGCTGTATTTGAGGAGAAGTTGCTTGAAGTTTTTAATACATTTGACCTCTGTGACCTTGAATATAGGTCAAGGTTATTTTTTTTGCAAACTTTGCTAAACTTCATCAAAGGAACCTTCCAGCCAAATATAATGATTCTAGGCCTTCCAGTATTTTTGAAGAAGTTGTCTAAAGGTTTTAACACATTTGACATCTGTGACCTTGAATACGGGTCAAATTTATTTTTTTTTTCACAAACTTTGTTGGGCTTCATCAAAGGAACCTTCCAGCCATATATAATGATTCTAGGCCTTCCAGTATTTTGGAAGAAGTCGTTCAAAGGTTTTAACACATTTGACCTCTGTGACCTTGAATATGGGTCAAGGTTATTTTTTTCACAAACTTTGTTGGGCTTCATAAAAGGAACCTTCCATCCATATATAATGATTCTAGGCCTTCTGGTATTTTGGAAGTTGTTTAAAGGTTTTAACACATTTGATCTCTGTGACCTTGAATATGGGACAAGGTCATTTCTTTTTGCAAACTTTGTTGGGCTTATCAAAGGAACCTTCCAGTCAAATATGAAAACTGTACGCCTTACAGTATTTCAGTAGATGTTGTTTAAATGAAAAGTTGACAAACGTAGGATGGCTGGACGACGGAGGACGCGGTATGGCATAACCTCACTTGGCCTTTTGGGCCAGGTGAGCTAAAAAGATTGTCATTCAGGAAAAAAAAAAAATTTCCAATCCACTTTGAAAGTGATAGTGTCAATAAGGCTAATGCTCTGACCTGACTGACAAGGGAGACAAGAAAAATGTCACATATGACAGGTGGTCTCTTAATACAGGTTCAATGAAAAAAAATTCCCAAGAAGCCCAAGGACCTTAAAGGTCACTTGAATTACAATGCTGTCGTTGTAACATGTCATAGAAATAATCTTGTTAATAAAATATAACTTAAAATACATTGTACAAGATAAAAACTGCAGAACATTTACTGCTGTAACGTGCTTAGGCATCTAACCTACATAAATCAGGTAAAAAACCCAAAACATTTCTTATGATACAGTCCAACACGATATATCGGTAAGTTATAACCTAAAGTGTCCATATTGGACAGTCTGGATGTTTGTTTTGACATTAATCGCCTGAGGTATTTGGAGGTAGCCAGTCCCACAGTGTGTATCAAATATGTAAGATTCATAATAAAGTCCTATCTAAATAAGAAAAATAAATAGAGTATGAGTGATATACTTTATTGGACACAAAATCTTAACAAAGGGCAATAATTTTGTAATTAAGGAGTTTGGGCCCTGAGTTTGGCATCGATATATGTGTACCTACCATCCACTTTGAAATCCAAGGTGCCAATAAGGCCCGAACTTCCAGGTACGCGTCTGATTCTACACTGATACTCTCCGTCATCCTCTTTGCTGACGACCTTCTGAAACCTCACAGTGGTTTCATTGACTACAGTCAGAAATGCTGGATCCATCTCCTTACCATCTTTAGTGATATACAGATCTGATGCGCTTACCAACGTGGAGGAATTGTCCAAGGAACAAGTCAAGTTACTTGTGTCATTTGTATAGTAAAAAGGGTAATCTGGCGAAAAACCTAAAAAAAATTTTTTTTTAAATAACACAGAAGAATATTAACAGAATAAAACCTTAACCACTAGGATTTATATGCCTGTATCAGTCAACATGTCAGTTAAATTGCTGATAAAATCTAAATAATGAAGTTAATATTGAACCAGAATAATTGAAATATGTTGATGTAGCCTGTGATCCTAAACCTAAAAATCATGTTGATGCAACTGTGATCCTGAACCACTATGTCATACAGGTGACTCTATCTACCCTAAAGTCTCAATATGTTATACAGGTGACTCTATCTACCCTAATGTCTCAGTATGTTATACAGGTGACTCTATGTACCCTAAAGTCTTAGTATGTCATACAGGTGACTCTATGTACCCTAAAGTCTTAGTATGTTATACAGGTGACTCTATGTACCCTAAAGTCTTAGTATGTTATACAGGTGACTCTATGTACCCTAATGTCTCAGTATGTTATACAGGTGACTCTATGTACCCTAAAGTCTCAGTATGTTATACAGGTGACTCTATGTACCCTAATGTCTCAGTATGTTATACAGGTGACTTTATCTACCCTAAAGTCTCAATATGTTATACAGGTGACTCTATGTACCCTAATGTCTCAGTATGTTATACAGGTGACTCTTTGTACCCTAATGTCTCAGTATGTTATATAGGTGACTCTATGTACCCTAATGTCTCAGTATGTTATACAGGTGACTCTTTGTACCCTAATGTCTCAATATGTTATACAGGTGACTCTATGTACCCTAAAATCTCAGTATGTTATACAGGTGACACTATGTACCCAAAAGTCTCAATATGTTATACAGGTGACTCTATCTACCCTAAAGTCTTAGTATGTCATACAGGTGACTCTATGTACCCTTAAGTCTCAGTATGTCATACAGGTGACTCTGTACCCTAAAGTCTCAGTATGTTATACAGGTGACTCTACCTACTCTAAAGTCTCAGTATGTCATACAGGTGACTCTTTGTACCCTAATGTCTCAGTATGTCATACAGGTGACTCTATGTACCCTAAAGTCTTAGTATGTCATACAGGTGACTCTATGTACCCTTAAGTCTCAGTATGTCATACAGGTGACTCTGTACCCTAAAGTCTCAGTATGTCATACAGGTGACTCTTTGTACCCTAATGTCTCAGTATGTCATACAGGTGACTATATGTACCCTAAAGTCTTAGTATGTCATACAGGTGACTCATGTACCCTTAAGTCTCAGTATGTTATACAGGTGACTCTTTGTACCCAAAAGTCTCAGTATGTTATACAGGTGACTCTTTGTATCCTAAAGTCTCAATATGTCATACAGGTGACTCTATCTACCCTAAAGTCTCAGTATGTCATACAGGTGACTATGTACCCAAAAGTCTCAATATGTCATACAGGTGACTCTTTGTACCCTAAAGTCTCAGTATGTTATACAGGTGACTCTATGTACCCTTAAGTCTCAGTATGTTATACAGGTGACTCTATCTACCCTAAAGTCTCAATATATCATACAGGTGACACTATGTACCCAAAAGTCTCAATATGTTATACAGGTGACTCTATGTACCCTAAAATCTCAGTATGTTATACAGGTGACACTATGTACCCAAAAGTCTCAATATATCATACAGGTGACACTATGTACCCAAAAGTCTCAATATGTTATACAGGTGACTCTATCTACCCTAAAGTCTTAGTATGTCATACAGGTGACTCTATGTACCCTTAAGTCTCAGTATGTTATACAGGTGACTCTACCTACTCTAAAGTCTCAGTATGTTATACAGGTGACTCTACCTACTCTAAAGTCTCAGTATGTCATACAGGTGACTCTTTGTACCCTAATGTCTCAGTATGTCATACAGGTGACTCTATCTACCCTAAAGTCTTAGTATGTCATACAGGTGACTCTATGTACCCTTAAGTCTCAGTATGTCATACAGGTGACTCTATGTACCCTAAAGTCTTAGTATGTCATACAGGTGACTCTTTGTACCCTAATGTCTCAGTATGTTATATAGGTGACTCTATCTACCCTAAAGTCTCAGTATGTCATACAGGTGACTCTATGTACCCTAAAGTCTCAGTATGTCATACAGGTGACTCTATGTACCCTTAAGTCTCAGTATGTCATACAGGTGACTCTGTACCCTAAAGTCTCAGTATGTTATACAGGTGACTCTAGCTATCATTTAGTGCAGGAGCCATTCACTTTTTTATGCATCTATAATTTTGCCTTTCTGTAAGTCCTTTATTAGAAATTAACATCTTTATATGCAACTTCATTAATTTGTAAAGGGTAAATCAATTAAAATCACTTACTTCCACACTGACAGCACAGCATGCATGCAGAGGAAAACCACATCAGCTGGCCAAGGTACAAGAAAAGACAGATGGTCTTCATACTGTCAGATACAGTAAAAAACTACTGTCAAACTGGTCAGTCAAACCCTACAAAAATTGTTAAAGGTACAAATTAAGGTATGTTTTATAACTACAGTAACCATGATTACAGAATGGTTACCATGATTACAAAATCAGGATTTCAGATGAAATAAATAGTAACCACTTTGTAAAATTCATATGCAAATATAAATCAGTGACTGTTTCAAGTAAATCTATAGATATATCAGTTATAAAAGTGTAAAATATCAACAATTCACCTTAAACTATACTCAACAAAAAAAGAAAGGTTAACATGTTTCCTTGGCGAATACCTGTAAATGAGTGAAAACAAAATGACGTTTGTGCAATATTATAAAATGGTAATGTTTTACATTACAAAATCCAAGGGGGTTACCAAAATCATTCAAGCGTGAAAGTCTGTATTAGCGAAAGAGCTGCACGAGGTTTTCTGCGACTAACTTGTATCTTCGCTTGAATTTCATAAACATTCAAACTGACAACTGTTTCTTAGATCCTTAGGACTTAGAAATCACCGAATCTTGCTATCTATCAACTTTATCATTATGCCCCAAATGTCACAAGTACAGAGAGAAAGGGCTGTAGGCATGATCCAGCCTGGGGAGTCTCGCCGTCGAGTTGCACGGCATTTTGGTTGCAGTGTTAAGACAATTTGCCAGTTGGTAAGTCGTTTAAACCAAACTGGGTCAACATCTGATCGTCCCAGAACCGACCAACCCCGTAAAACGACCGCCAGGGATGGCCGTCGTATACGATTGATACACTTGCGCAATCGATTCGTAACCGCAGTAGAGACTACAAGGACATTGTTTGGACGTCGTGTGACTCCCCAAACAGTCCGCAACAGGTTGAGGGCCTACCAATTGAAAGCGCGGCGTCCCTACACTGGACCCAATTTGTTGCGACGTCACCGTAATAATCAGCGTAACTGGATCCATGTTCACTGTCGTTGGGCCTTACGACAATGGAACATTGTTCTGTTTTCAGATGAGTCCAGGTTTTGTCTGCAACACGGTGACGGAAGGCGCAGAGTGCGGAGGCGCTTTGGCGGCGGAAGTGTAATGGTTTGGGGTGGTATTTGTGGGGGGACTCGTACCAGGGTTGTTGTGTTAAATGGCAATTTATTCGGCATTCAATATCGGGACAAAATTTTAAGACCAGTGGTTCTGCCATTCTTAAGATGCCATGGCATTGGCGTCATTTTTCAACAGGATAACGCACCAGCACACACCAGTCGCGTCAGCAGAACTTTCTTAGACTGGCCATCTAAATCACCTGATTTGTCACCGATTGAGCATGTCTTGGACGTTCTTGGGCGACGCGTGAGAGAACGTCAAAATCAGCTGTCAAACTTGCAGGAGCTGGCCCAAGCCTTGATCGCTGAATGGAACAACATCTCTCCTCGAATTATGTGCCGGTTTACGAGTTCCATGCGACAACGCTGCAATGCTGTTTACTTCGCAAACAGTGGCCATACCCGTTACTAATGGTGTTACCTTTGAAATTGACCCCAACGTCCTTTACAGTCGAATAAAATCAACTGAACGCAAAGTTTTATAATGAACCATGACTGCAGTTTTATCAGAATTGATCAATTACTTTATTCCTACATGATTGGTAAGGATTTATGAAGGGGTTGATTAATTAATCACAGAATAAAGTAGTGTTACCTTTCTTTTTTTGTTTAGTATATATAAATCGTATCAACTTTTCAGACCGAGATTCAGACCATAATAACGATCTGGTTATACTGAGAAACTGCTGGATTGGGGGCTTAAGATTCTCATACTATGTACCAACACCAGCAGTTGAGGATTACATTTACAAAGTTGAAAGGGAGGGTGATGTCATTTCCGGGTATAATCTGTACCAGAAAAGTCATAATCAAAATGGTGGGTGATGTCATTTCAGTGTCACAGATGGAGGGTGATATCATTTCAGTGTCACAGATGGAGGGTGATATCATTTCAGTGTCACAGATGGTGAGTGATATCATTTCAGTGTCACAGATGGAGGGTGATATCATTTCAGTGTCACAGATGGAGAGTGATATCATTTCAGTGTCACAGATGGAGGGTGATATCATTTCAGTGTCACAGATGGTCAGTGATATCATTTCAGTGTCACAGATGGTGAGTGATATCATTTCAGTGTCACAGATGGAGGGCGATATCATTTCAGTGTCACAGATGGTGAGTGATATCATTTCAGTGTCACAGATGGAGGGTGATATCATTTCAGTGTCACAGATGGTGAGTGATATCATTTCAGTGTCACAGATGGAGGGTGATATCATTTCAGTGTCACAGATGGAGGGTGATATCATTTCAGTGTCACAGATGGAGGGTGATATCATTTCAGTGTCACAGATGGAGGGTGATATCATTTCAGTGTCACAGATGGAAAGTGTAAACATTTCATTTGTTATGACTTGGCAATGTGAAAACAATGCCGTAATATCTTAACTATGTGACATCACACTGGACAACATTGCCATAATATCTTAACTATGTGACATCACACTGGACAACATAACACTGAATACTAAAGACATCAACTCAGTGATACTGCCATAATATCTTAACTATGTGACATCACACTGGACAACATAACACTGAATACTAAAGACATCAACTCAGTGATACTGCCATAATATCTTAACTATGTGACATCACACTGGACAACATCACACTGAATACTAAAGACATCAACTCAGTGATACTGCCATAATATCTTAACTATGTGACATCACACTGGACAACATAACACTGAATACTAAAGACATCAACTCAGTGATACTGCCATAATATCTTAACTATGTGACATCACACTGGACAACATCACACTGAATACTAAAGACATCAACTCAGTGATACTGCCATATTATCTTAACTTTGTGACATCACACATAATGACATCACATGAAATATTTTAATGTCATTAGGACACCAACATTGAAAATGTCTCCACAATGGTTAAAAGAAATATTTAAACTTACTCTTTGTGACATTGACCTCAGAAGAACAACCTCTGGCATACAACAGCTCCGTGCAGCAATGAAACACAATCAGAAAATCTCTCCGGATGTGTGATTGGTAAGTGTGTATTAGTGCTATATCCTGGATAATTGTTTCTATGTATGTAAGTAGGTCAGTTTATTTCTTTACACTTAAAGTGAAATGTAAAATGTACAAACATCACAAAGTCCACCTCTGGCTCGATTAAAATCTTTAGAAAAAAAAATGTAAAACGACAGATCAAGAAGTAGGGTGTATCATTTTGTCAATATTTTGTTTTGGCAAATGATCTAGTGCATTGGAAAAACTATCACATGGGCAGCAGAAAAAGGCAAAGACTATATAAAAGCAAATTTGATGAAAAACATTTAAACACAAAATTGATAGACATACACCTGTCTTATTCTATTACATCCAAATGCATCATCAAAATATGTGTCCAATCAAAATGATATAATCAAAATACAACACCATCACCCATGCTATTAAATAGTTTAAGAGACAGTGGTTAAAAATCAAGTAGAGGAGCTCTAACAAGGCTTAATACTGTAAACAAAAATAAATACTGTAAACAAAATAAATACTGTAACAAAAATAAATACTGTAAACAAAATAAATACTGTAAACAAAATAAATACTGTAAACAAATTAAATACTGTAAACAAAATAAATACTGTAACAAAAATAAATACTGTAAACACTGTAAACAAAATAAACACTGTAAACAAAATAAATACTGTAAACACTGTAAACAAAATAAATACTGTAAACAAAATAAATACTGTAAACAAATTAAATACTGTAAACACTGTAACAAAAATAAATACTGTAACAAAAATAAATACTGTAACAAAAATAAATACTGTAAACAAAATAAATACTGTAAACAAAATAAATACTGTAAACACTGTAAACAAAATAAACACTGTCAACAAAATAAATACTGTAAACACTGTAAACAAAATAAACACTGTAAACAAAATAAACACTGTAAACAAAATAAACACTGTAAACAAAATAAATACTGTAAACACTGTAAACAAAATAAACACTGTAAACAAAATAAACACTGTAAACAAAATAAACACTGTAAACAAAATAAATACTGTAAACACTGTAAACAAAATAAACACTGTAAACAAAATAAATACTGTAAACAAAATAAATACTGTAAAACAAAAATAAATACTGTAAACAAAATAAATACTGTAACAAAAATAAACACTGTAAACAAAATAAACACTGTAAACAAAATAAATACTGTAAACAAAATAAATACTGTAACAAAAATAAATACTGTAAACAAAATAAATACTGTAAACACTGTAAACAAAATAAACACTGTAAACAAAATAAATACTGTAACAAAAATAAACAAAAAAAACCTGAAGTAATAAGTCAAGTTAAACTGTGGTGAGTACCCTTCGAGGTAAAGTATATTGCCAGGCACTTGCTAAAATAGGAAAAGAGAAGGAATCTCTCGACAAGAAGATTAAAATGCGGAGAAAAAGTAAGCTCTCCAAAAAACAGCTTTATTGGACACAAAATTTAATCAAAGGGCAATAACTCTGTTATTAAGAAATTGCAGGCCCTGAGTTTGGTATACTGCACATTCTCTTAGTATGACCAATGTATACACCAAGTTTCAATAACTCCTAAATTATGCAAAACTGTATGTAAAGTCAGGCCCTATATCTGTGCGTAGGCAATCTTTGAATGCTTCCAAGCAAAACGAGTCTAATATTTGCTATTTTGTTTTTTTGAATTATATCAATAAAATAAAGGATTGTCTCTGTATAATTCATTTGAAAACTTTTAGAAACTATCGGATGTTTCACCGATGATCTTGATACATTGCCCGCTGTTGTCTGTTATATCAACACACTTTGGTCTACGTAACAGTTACCACTTCAGAAGAAAAGGTGCAGCTGATAGTTCAGAACGGCTTATGTGTGGATCTAATAAAACAAAAATGCTAAAAACTGGCCTTGCTGCTTATAACCCACAAAA